ATTGTCAGATGCGAGAATATTGTCAAGAAAAATATAAAACAAAATCAAGACAAGATCTCGGAGGGGCAGGAGAATATAATTGTACATGTTTGTCTTATTTACAATTATTAGAAAGATTTAAAGTAGATAAAATAATTCATGGTTTTGAACATTTTAAGACTGAGTTTAAAATGGAATTGTGTACAAATGATGAACATGTAATTGCTAAAATGTACAAACTTTTATTGAAATTGGAAACTGAAGAAGAACAAGTGAAACATTGCATGATAAAGTGAGCTCAATATTTTGGTTATAATATACAGATGTACCGAGGGGAAATATGTGGTTGAAAGGATTGAAATTTACATTATGTTATAATATTAAAGACAATTTTTATAAAATGCTGTATAATTGGTATTTGTCACCAGAGAAATTATCTAGAATGTAAAAAAACACACACTTCAAATGTATGCTGGAATTATGAACAACAAGAAGGGACGTTTTATCGCCTGTGGTGGACGTGTAATAAAGCTAGAAAATTCTAAATTCAAGAACATGCTCTAATTCAGAGGATTTGAATATACAATGATTTGTCTTTTGGAACTGGTAGACAAACAGTTGGAAAAAAGTCATGGAACTTTGTTTTTGTACATGACAACTGCAGTAAGTTTCTGGCGTGCACAAAGATGAAAAGATTCAGCATTACCAACAATGGAGGAATGGCTGGTGAAAATTGACTTCTTTGATCAGAGAAAAGACTGTAACTACATGTATTGCTGACTGGAAACCCCTTATACATGTTTTGCATGAAAGAGGAAAAAAACGATGATTTATGCTTTTAATGATTAAATTTAATAGATTATAGAAAGAAGAGAGGTATCTTGTACCCATCAAGTAAGTTATAATTGTAGCAATAACAGCTGCACTGAAAATTGGAAGCTTTACAGATTTTTTTCTTTCTTTCCCTTTTTGGACTTCTCTTTGATTTCTCTTTCTTTTCCTGTTTCTTACTTCATATTAGCTTGGGTTAGTTTTTAAAAACCTTTAAGAAAAATATATATTAAAAATTTAAAACATAAAAGAAAACAGAGAGCCCAAGCTAAAAAAAAACCCAGCCACGATAATATCATATACCATAACAGTAACTGTAAAAATTCAACAATAAGGGCCTCATAACCATATTCACTGCAGTCCCTGGAACAGAGCTAGATTTGTAAGCCTTCCAGAATTGTTTCAGTGTGTGGATGCTACTCACACTGTTCCAGAAGTGGGATGGTCATACATAGAATATTTCTTTGCTCCTGCAAGATGATAAGGTTTAAGAGAGAGGACCAGGAGTTTGAATGTATCAGGTCAGCACGAACAATTGTGATAGGCAACGCCATGAAGGGTTTTATAAGTAATGACCAGCATCTTGAATTGTACCCAGAAAGTGTTTGACAGCTAATGCAGGTTACATAATGGTGGACATATGGGATAATGAAAGGTACCTCTTACTGCTAACACTGTGACATTTGTATTGTAATTTTTATTTTATTGTTGTATTGCATTTTTTCAACTATTTGTAAACAAATAGTTGAAAAAATTTGGGAGGGGAGGTATTGAACATCTTATTAAATTCAGAACATAAATATAATAGGAAGTATGGGGCTATACTCACTTCAATACTGAATCAAAAGTGAACTAGTTCAAATCTGATAACCCAGAATGCCTTTGATATTTTTTTTTTTGTACTGGAATTTTTTGCTATGCTTTGATTTATTATTTTCTTCATTCACTTGTTTAAATTAATTATAGATGCCATTCCCATGTAATCTGGGGAACTATATTGTGTGCATTTTATGTTGTATTTAGTTGAAAATCAGTCCAATAGTTTTTGATCCTTTCCAAGAAATTAAGATTGAAATTATAACTACTATGTAATAATTTAACATTTTTACTAATTCATAGCACTTCCTGGCATGAGTGTATCTGATACGTTGCAAACTGATTGGAATCCAGAGAGATATATACAACATATTGTGTGCAAGATGACTTGTAGGCAGAAAAATGAAAAACTTGTGGCCCTCACTTGGTAGACACAAAGTGGCTGCCCTAATTTCTTCTAACAATGAAGTAGTTGGTATTTGGAGGTTTGGAAGTTATTTTGTCAATTTATATCACTTTATAAATGGATGCTTGTTTTTGCATGGTCTATTTTGATTGTAATAAAGTTAACTATGGCATTTTCTAAAAATACATTATGCTCAAAGCAGTTTTCAGAAAAATTCTATAATCTCAATAAAACCACACATTTAGTTCACAAAGAGTAATCTATTTTCATAGTAATCAGTTAAAATTTCTCTAAAAATTATGACCCAGAATTAATTTACAAAAACTAAGATTATTAATAATTAGTGGGAAGAAGAAATATAGGTCCTCGATTTAAAACCTTAGTCAGGACCGGAATTTTGATTGTAAGTCATTGATGTCATAAATCAGAGCATCATATGACCGGACTCAATTTTACAATGGCAGTAGTTAAGCAAACCACATGGTTGTATGTGCAAACCCATTTTACCCAATGGGCATTTTTGCCATTTTTTGCCAAAAAAAAAAAAAAAAACCTGCAAAAAAATGTCATTACATGTGATCATGTGACCATGGGATACTGCAACTGATCATAAATGCAAACCAGTTGCAAAGTGCCCAAAATGTGATCACATGACCTCGGGGTGGTGCAGCAATCATAACTTCAAGGTCCAGTTATAAGTAACTTTTTCTAAATCCATTGTAATTTCAAATGGCTGTAAGCAATCAGTTGTAAGTTGTGGACTACCTGTATAAATAATCAAAATGTACATGAATTTAGATCCTCCTGTTATATATACAGTATTAATGTTGCCTAGGTCAAGGCTTGTAGTTTTTGTGTGATAATAACAAACATGAGGGCCTTCTCTTCAGTAGTGTGTCTCCTGTTGAATAACCACTGCTCTGAATTATGCAAACCTGCAACATAGAGTGGGGTTTAAAAGTTTGTCAACCCTTTTGTATTTTCAATATTTCTGCATACATGTGACCTAAAATGTGATCTACTCTCCACACAAGTCCTAAAACTAGATACAAAGAACTCAATTAAATGAGTAAAAAGCATTGCACTTGTTCTTTTATTTATTGAGGAAAATGATCCAACACTGCCTATAGATTATGTTTTAAGTCATATTTATGCAGAAATATTGAAAATTAATTTTACCAGCTAGTAAAAAAATGTATTTCTTGTAATATAAACTGATTTACTGTCAATCTTTTGGAACAATTCTGAACAACTCAGAATTCTGCTGCATCTTCAAACAATCCTTCAGATATTTGAAGACAACTACCATAGTTTTGTTTTCTCCAAATTAAACATACTGTAACTAATACAGTATCTCCAATTGTAATCCTTGTTGGCTTCTTATCATCTTGATTACACTTTTATGATCATGCTGTAGTTTCTCAATGTTCTTTCTAACACAATGCCCAGAACTAGATACAATATTCTGAGTATTGTCTGTAGAATAGAGACAATCTTGACACTATATTTCTATTAATACAGCTAAGATTGTATTTGCTCTTCTGTAGCTGCATCACTCAGAGGATTTGTGCTCAACTCAAACACAATATCTAGATCCTTTACACATGTACTACGTCCCAATCTTCTGTTTGCATTTTTACCTATTAAACTTAATGTTACTGGTTTCTGCCCATTGTTCCAGCTTATCAACATATTTCTGAATTTTGCTGTCTCCTCAAATGATAGCAATAGCAATAGCATTTGGACTTATATACTACTCCACAGTGCTTTACAGCCCTCTTTGAGTGGTTTACAATGTCAGCATATTGCCCCCAGCAATTTGGGTCCTTATTTTACCGACCTCAGAAGGATGGAAAGTTGAATCAACCTTGAGCTGGTCAGGATCGAACTCCTGACAGTGGGCAGAGTTAGCCTGCAATAATGCATTCTAATCACTGCACCTCCATGGCTTCTGATAATTAGTATTTTACAGGCTTGCTTTATAAACAAAGGATTATTTTATTCTCACTTTTGTGACCAAAGCAAATTCATATAGAAACCAAAATCTCATAACTCTTACAATACTTAAAATCTTAATAAGAACACTGAATATTAAGAAGGATAACTGTTGCAGGACTTTATGCTGTAGAAAAATATTTTTTACTGCCATCATTACAATAGATATGTCTCAAAATTGGCATTGTAAAATCCTTCCCATATTCAGTTGAAATTGATTCATGTTCTGTCTACCTAAGTGTTGTATTGTCAGCAAATGTACATTAAAACAAAAAACCTGAGCTCTCTGCAAGAGCAGATGGCACTTAAAACTAATAGCATAAATTGGCTGGATCTCGTCCTCTGATTAGTCTATTCTCCTGATCCTTGTCTTTAAACAAAGACTAAAGGTCAGACTAAAACCTGTATGTTGATTCATGGCTGATTCCCTGTCAGTGAATTTTAACATAAACAGATACTGAAGGTATCATCTAACACAAATCATTCATTCTATTTATACTGTATGCATATCTACTATGTGTCTATCTTGGTAATTAACAACAGAAATATTAAATCAAAGTCAAATCTCCAAATATCACTGAAAACCTAAGCCTCTTTCATCATCTTATTTTTTTAAAAAATGACAATGTTCTGGCACCTGTGTGGTTTGTGTGGTTTATATTATCTTGTGCTATGATTCAAAATACGGTCCAACAAATACTATAGTACAAAACCTGTACCACATTCGGATTATATTAAGTTCAAGCAGGACTTTAACAAATCAGGATTTACAGTAAAGTACACGATAAACATATTGCTGGATAGTTTAGCCATGGTATTTGGAACCAATGTTATGTACATTTAAATGGAAACATAAACATGAAAACATCTTCCAAGTTTTCTCCATTTGTATACTGTACATTTTTGCATTCCTATTTGTTTTGGTTTAATGTTCTTTTATTTAATATTAACACTTTCTACCAATTATTTACAGATGATCACTCCAGGGTGAGACTGCAGTTACTAGATGGAGATCCCCATTCAGATTACATTAATGCAAATTATATTGATGTAAGTGTTGTAAGAAAATATTTTTTTGCACAGAGAGATGTTTGTTTGAAGAATGTTTGTTTGATCCTTACTTAGTGGGCTACATTAGGTTTAAATAACTATATTTTGGTAGAAGACAGTAGCAGTACACTAGCCAATACCTTTTATGAACATCTAATACCACTAAATTCCCCTAGAAGTAATTAGAGGATGATGGTAAATTAAAATGGAGCTAGATCCAATTACTTGATACTTTGCAGGTTTAAGTAAGGCCTTTGCCAAGCAAGGACGGAAATTACTAAATCACACTCATACCATAAGATAGAGTCCAGGGTTTTAAGAATCAGACACATTTCTTCAAATGGAATTTTGTAAAACAGACAAAGAGGAAGAACGTATAATGTTTGGATCAAAATTTTCATCCCAAAGCCAATACAAATTAATGATTTACTAATTAATTGACTAATTGAATAAGGCTCATGCTGTGCTTGCAATTTTCTGTTTTTGACTATCTTTATTTGAATGGGATGTGGATTGAATGGGATTGAATACCGTATATTATTTTATGAGCATAGGAAAGTGTCTTATTCTGTGTCGGATTATTTGCTCATCTTTCTGAAGTATTGTTCATTACTTGTTTAATATTGTTTATTTTAACTAGCAATCACCCTTCACAATCTTAGACATTTTTTGTTAGTTTAACACTGAAGAAGAATATTGTGAGATCAGTGGAATTTACTATTAGGTAAACATGCAAAGGAATGAAATGCCTTCAAATGCCAATGTCTAAAAAGCCTTCTTTGAATTTTGACAAAATAATATATTGAAGGGGTAGTTCTTCTTCCCGTGATCTCAACCACCCCATGTTGTTAGAAAATTAGAAGTGTAACCATATTGATCAATGTGCTGATTGTTGAAAAAAGATCAGGAACTTGAAATGCAGTGTTTATTGTAAATCTATATATAAAGTATCCTGAAGAGATTTTGTGAAATTAAAGAACAGAAAGAAGGATAAAGTTAACAAATTAAATATATTCATCTGACTAATAAAAAATTGAATTTTGAAGCAAATTAAGTCTGTAACTTCTAGCAAAGTACTACACATCCTCTTTTCTCATGTAAGCCTCTATAGTTGTCAATTAAATCACAGTGTTTTTAACAGATCCTCCAATTAAGAAAAGGGAAAACATGTAAAAATGTATACTCTACATGATTTCCTTAAAAAAAAAAACAACCCACATTCAAGCTAATGACCTCTTCTGCTTTGACAAGAAACAGATGTGTGTGCCACAGATGAGGGGACACCAATGTCTCCAAATTTGTTTTATTAGCACAGAAGATAAGTTAAATCCTAAAGTGAATATGATTTAGGCAGGCAATATGAAAGTAAGGTATAGTTTTTATGCCTAGTCATAAAACTCCTTTCTTTTTGATACATAAATGGTTTCAGAATTTTTAGAACTATCAGGAAGTCTGAGGCAATTCCTATCATAAATAATTCATTCAGTGTAGTTTTATATAACTAACATTTTTGGGACTCTTTGTACCCCAGCTCAGATATGATCTTTAGAGGTCTGCAGTGGTCACCTTGAGAAAGCCTCATTTGTTTTCCAGCTGTAAAATATAGTCTGGACATTTTACCTGTCTCTTTGTCTGTCCCAAGCATCCAGATACTCAGTCTCCATCATTCCATCACTATCTTTCCTCTAATTCATACTCTAATTCTAATAATTGAATGATTGAGGATTTTCTGCCTCTGTCCTGAGGATATAGAGGAAATGCAATTTTCATATCCCTTTTCTTACTTCAGATGCGTCAAAGACAACATTGATTTTTGTGATTTTAAGCAAAATTTTAACAAATCAAATGCATATCTGAATTGTGCCTGAAATTGAAATTCAATAGGTTTCCCTTCCTTGTCTTCTTTTTAGGGATACCACCGGCCTCACCATTACATTGCAACTCAGGGTAAGTACTATAGAAACAGAGTGTGGTCCGAATGAGAGGATGTGAAGATTTTATAAAAATAATAAATAGATGATATAAAGATGCCTGAAAGCTGGTAGTGCCATTAATTTGGAAGATAAATTATTGTAGGTGCTTTAGGGCAAAGTACCGTAGAGATGTATTTACTTTGTTATTCATCCTTGCCATTTTAACATAGATTCACTTAAAAGTTCTTTTTCAAATTAATTATTATTTCTTTAATAATATTATGAATTCTTGCATTTAATTTTTTCTTTTTGGACATGTTAGCTTAGAATATGTTTCTAAAGATAAAAATAAGAGTTTAATTCTGTTTTGACATAAGCATTGAGTTTAGAACAATTTAATACACACCTGGGTTTTTTTTTTACACATAATAATTGAAATTTCACATGTGTTGCACTTGGTTTCATAGGAATCATATTGCAATCAGTAAGATTCCTTTGTAATTAATTAAATTTGAGTTCCATCCTTTAATTTTATTTTTTCCCCAAAATGCTATTTTTTCACACGTTTGCAATACAGTTTTTTAAAAGATGAAAAACACAATCAGAAATATAAAAAGCAGAACCTAGCACCCAATTCTCAAAGGCAATGAAAAGATTTATGTTAAAAATCACACATTCATTTGGTAATTAAAATGTGACCCAGGAGTATTATCACCTAACATCTCACCCTATAATTAAGGGTGCATTTAGAATTCTTGATGCCATTTATACTTCGTAAGTATTCTTACCAGACCTAGCACTTTATCCCAGCATAAATTAATATTCTATATTTGTCTCACATGTTACTCCAAAGTGACCTTCAATTATGAGTATTTATATCTATTTGTGGTACTAACTGAAAGTTTAGCACAGTATTTTAAATCCTAGTTACTCATATGATTCAACAGATCTATCGCTCTTCAGACCTCTCCTAAGAAAATAAGCAGGCACACTTAGGAGATTTTGTTTTGGTAGTAGAAGGGTGGTTGGCAGACAGACAAATAAATTGAAATGTTTGTGCTAAAGTAATCTTTGGAAGATCTCTTTTGTTTTACTTATTCTGCCTTCAGGGCCAATGCAAGAGACAGTAAAGGATTTTTGGAGGATGATCTGGCAGGAGAATTCAGCAAGTGTTGTCATGGTCACCAACCTGGTGGAAGTTGGCAGGGTAAGATGTTAATTTCCAAAGTTATCAGTCATATATTGTGGTTCATATCATTCTTACATGTGCTCAGTTTGAAGGCTTCTATACACCACTGACACATTAAGTGGCAATATATTCAAAATCTGCTTCAAATTTGCATTTAAATACAGATTTTAAAATACATTTTGGTGTTGTCACAATAATATGGATTTCTGAATAAATTTGATAACTGCATTTCTAAACTTACAAAACATGTTTTTAAATAAATGTTTGAGCTAAGAACTCAGAATTTAATGAAGTCTGAACTATAATTACATTTTAATCTGCACATTAGATGAAAATCAGAATAAGTTCATATCACATTGCACACAGATCAAAATTTTCAAGCAATCTTACCTTGCAGCAATGTATGATATCACTTCTGATCTATATTACTCTGATTTTCCAAATTTTAAAGCATTTGAACAAATACAATACTTGCCCTCTGATATGGTATAAAAGACAGATGAAGATGAGATGAGATAAGGAGAAGAGAAGAAGAGAAGAGAAGAGAAGAGAAGAGAAGAGAAGAGAAGAGAAGAGAAGAGGAGAAGGAGGACAACAACAAGAAGAAGATAGTCATTTTTTTCACTGTGACCACACTGGCCCAGATTAAAAATGAAATTCTGTTGCCTGCTCTCAAGAGAAAGTATCTATCTACTCAAACACATACATAACACAAATATACAAATGCTATATACATACTTAATTATATACCTGCACGATACACACACACACACACACACACACACACACACACATATATGCGCAATACTTTTCTAGTCAGGGTTTTTCCTACGTAAATCAAGATGTTTGTATTGCCATAGTTGGTGACATCTCAAATCACCACTTTCAGGCTTTATCAGACATTTTGTGTTGTCTGCTGTGAGACTTAAGGGAGACTGGGATAGATCTATTTTGGCCTTATAAGGCCTCTTCAGCCAGCCACACCCTTATTTTATGACTCCTCCCTGTAAAGGTCAAATATTTATTTTGTTCTTTTATTCATAGGATTATATGTGCAATACTTTTCTAGTCAGGGTTTTTCCTTCGTAAATCAAGATGTTTGTATTGCCATAGTTGGGTGACATCTCAAATCACCACTTTTAAGCTTTATCAGACATTTTGTGTTGTCTGCTGTGAGACTTAAGGGAAAGCCTGAAAGTGGTGATTTGAGATGTCACCCAACTATGGCAATACAAACATCTTTATTTACGTAGGAAAAACCCTGACTAGAAAAGTATTGCACATATAATCCTACAAATAAAAGAACAAAATAAATATTTGACCTTTACAGGGAGGAGTCATAATATATATATATATATATATATATATATATATATATATATATATATATATATATATATATATATAAAAGAGGAAACTTGAGAGTTCACAAGGTTGATGCTATATGGAACAAAACTGTGACTGAATCCAGATGTTCTACTTTGGATACCATGAAGCCTTCTCCTAGAAGGTAACAAAGAAAACAGGTCATGAAGAGGATGTGTAAGTGACCCAGACAATCCTGTGGACTCTGTTCAAGCATTGCTTATATGCTATGTCCTGGATAGAAGAAAGTGAGCTACCAATGATCTCACCACTTTCTGCACCACCTTCCTGTCTGAAGCAGTAATGCTTCCAAACCAGACAGTCCTGCATGCTCTCGATCCTCCCTCTATAGAAAGTGGTAAAGACAGGGAAGGAAGATGAATTTTTCTCATGAGAAGCAGAAAATGCAGGTGCTGCAATCCCGCTTCACCAGTGCCTCACTGTTGGGTGACCAAGCTTCCCTAGTCATTAGCTGCACACCCAGAAACTTGATGCTGCTAATCATCTCCACAGGTGAATCATTAATATGTAGAGGTGTGTGGCTGTGCTTGCCTTTTCTGAAATCAACAATGATAAAAATTAAACAGTTAGCAAAGGTGTGAATTAAAGCTGTATACTCTTAATTTTTAAAATCTATACATTGGATATATACTAAGGAAGGCTAATTTTAAAAAGACGAACGTGGCTTTAAAATTGGTGGAAAACCTAAACTATTCTGATAGCAAAAAAACAAATAATCTGCAATTTCTGGTAATAAAAGACATAGAATCCAGTAAAAAAGGGGGACTACGATTAAATATAAAGATCAAACTAATAACAGTATTACAGCCAGCTTTAGAATTGACAATGAAGATACTGAAGTGATAGACACTTTCTGTTTTTAAAAGATCAATTATTAATAGGAGCAGAAGTCAAGCAACCAGAAGTCAAGAAACATGCTGCAGCCTAGCACTTGGTAGGGTAAGAATAAAAGCCATGGAAGAAATATTCACATTCTATAATGTGTCTATACTTCTAAAGATCAGAACCATGCAGGCAATGGTTTCCCATTCTATGGATGTCAGAGTTCAACTTTGAAGAAGAAGGATAAAAAGAATATTGATGTTTTATGAACTATGGCATTGAGGAAGATTCCTGAGAATACCATAGGTAGCCAGGAAAACAAAGAAATGGATCATAGAACAAATCAACGGAAAGTTTTCATTTGAGGCACAAATAGCCAAGTTCAAATGACCATGTTTTGGACATACTATGCAAAGATCATAATAGGTCCATAACATTGAGAAATGTAGAAGGAAAAAGAAGATAATGACTAGGAATAAAGTGGATAAATTTAATTACTGCAGTGAGACCCGAAGAATCTATCCAGATCATTTTGAAGAAGGGTGAATATATACTAAGAGTTGACACTGATTGGATGGCACATAACATATCAATACAAAAAGGCTCTTTATCTAGCTGAAGCTTATAATAGCAGCAATTTTGCACAATTACCTAATGTTAGTTGTACATTTCTTTCCCATCACCTTCTTTCTTTTTTGCTCAACTTTCCTGATGTCATCTCTCCACCCCCACCCTCCCATGTTGATTGAATTTTATTGTGTACATAATTCAGTTCTGACAAAGTTAGACTGGATTCCTTTTGTCTTTCCTAATTTTATGTACAGTAAAATCAGAATTAACTATTCAGTGAATGAACAATATTTTATGCTATCACTTTCCCAACTTTAATGTAGATCATCATTTTATCATGACAAATATTGTTAGGATAGCAAGTTTGGATACTTGCAAATTGGTTGACAAACACTACAACAATCATAATAGAATTTGTTCATGTATTAGTATTCATATATGTATAATTATGTTTCCATATAAGTACCTTATTAGTCTAATTCAAAGTGAAGTACTGCAAATATAGTCTGAAAAAGGTTTCCATACACAAATAGGTTTCATATGTCAAACACTTATACAAAAACAAATAAATTACATCAATACTTATTGTTCTGGGTCCTTTTGGGTTACTAATAACTGATGCAGACAGCCAGGCACATGAGAGGTCCTATGAAGTGTCCTTCTGATTTCTTTTTCTACAGGAATGTACATTTTAAGCCAGTGGTGAAATTCATTTTTTTTTTTACTACCAGTTCTGTAGGAGTGGCTTGGTGGGCGTGGCAGGAGAAGGATACTGCAAAATCCCCATTCCCACCCTACTCTGGGGCCAGCCAGAGGTGATATTTGCTGGATCTCCAAACTACTCAAAATTTTCGTTACCGATTCGCCAAACTGCTCAAAATTTCCACTACCAGTTCTCCAGAACCTGTCAGAACCTGCTGGATTTCACCCCTGTTTTAGGCCCATATCTGGACCTAGAAAACAATGTCTTACAGCTCAATGTCATACATTAATTTTCACTTTTGTGACTTTCCCCTCCATAGGTGAAGTGTGTCAGATACTGGCCTGATGACACAGAAGTCTATGGAGATATCAAAGTGACCTTAATTGAGACTGAACCATTGGCAGAATATGTCATACGTACTTTTACAGTCCAAAAAGTAAGAATACATTGGTCCTACTTTCTTCATCATCTAATTTGTTTTCCAGTAAATCCATTTCTTTCCATGTTTCATTAAGAAATATGATAGTCAATATGAAATCATCACTATACATTATACACTTTAGTATATGAAGTAAATTAAACAGAGACATGGAGGACAAAAACATGCATTATGCTATGCATTATCTCCAGAATCAGAGAAGATACCTCTTTTCAGAACAGCAACTTTCATGCATAGCTTAATAATTTCCCATAGTTTAAGGGAATTCATACCAGTGATAAGTAGAATTGTAAATAGAACCATAGAACTCAGAGAGACTGCCTAGACCATCAAATCCAAATTTCTATTCTATTTGATCTTATCTAGCAAAGACAAGCCCATCATCCCATTAGGGTTATGTTGATTGTTCTCACTATTACAGCAAAGTAACACTCATCTTAATAGCAATAGCACCTAGACTTAAACTCTTATCATTACTCTACATTATTATTTTCTTTCTCTTTTTCTTAAGAAAAAGGATGAAACTTTGGAGGAATACTATTAGGAAGATAATCCTTCATACCATAATAGAAATTGGTAGAATTCTGTATAGAATAAACAGAATACTAGCTTTCTCTCTCTGCTTTCAGATAAGATGTTATTTCTTTGCCACACAGCAGAAAAGAAATACCAAAATCTTATTTGAAAGCACTTTGAATTGTTTCCAGAAAGGTTTTCATTATATGATTATTTGTATCAAGCATTATATTGCTAACTATTGGATTATGTACGTAAGTGCATTTTTAAATAATTGCTACTTGTTTCTGAATGTCATTCTTTAGCAGAATGTCATTCTTTAGCAGAATGGCAGAAAAGCATACATACATAATATATGTTTTTCATACATAAATGTTTCCTAATTTTAAATATATATTTTTCAGAAGTCATCATGACCAGAATAATAAATTTTTGAAATACTAAAACAAGCTAAAACTATATTACCATAATTTGTATGATCATAGCATTTTCAGAATAGTTATTTGGCATGCTTCCATTGTTCTTAATTTGGACTTCAGCCTCACTGAGTATACTTTCTAAATAAAAAGAATATATAGAAGGTAGCTTTGGAGGTAATTGGAATACTTCTACTTTTTTGAACCTAGTTTGCTACTCATTACTGCCAAGATATTTATCATCATATACTGGATGTGAATTTGCCAACTTTAACAAAGCAAAGTTATGATTGCTTACTAGTACACAGCTTCTTAAGCAACCTTTGTTCAAGGAATGATAGGGGATAATTGCACAGCATTTTCTTGAATTGAATTCATGAATCTTGACATTTATTTATTTTTATTAGAATCACCCAAATTGTACACATACATGTGTACAAACATGTATATGTACACACAGAGAAATACACGCATACATAAGCACACCTTTTCGTTTTTCACTTTCAGAAAACACACAGAGACATGAAATACTTGAAGATGCAAGTAGAGTTGAAGGAAAGATCAATTATTTTCCCCCCACAGTTTTTCTTCAAAATTGTTTGATTGTTTTAGGTACTCCATGAATAAGATAATAGAAGCATGTTTTTGTTTTTTTGTTTTTTCATTGTAACATTCTAAGTAAAGTGAAATTTTATATTTAGATTGATTTCCTGTTAGATAAATCTAGTCTCAACCTAAATAAGAAACAACTTATATTTAAGTAGTAGTAATTGTTATGAAAGAGAATAGATGATTTTTTTTATTATATATCCTTTTCAGAAAGGCTACCATGAGATTCGAGAAATTCGTCAATTCCACTTCACTAGCTGGCCTGACCATGGGGTTCCTTGTTATGCTACAGGTCTCTTGGGTTTTGTTCGACAAGTGAAGTTTCTCAACCCACCAGATGCAGGGCCTATTGTTGTACACTGCAGGTACAAACTTTGTTTCCATTTGTCATTTCCTTTCATCCATTTTCTCCAGTGCTGCTTACTTCCCTAGCTTACTAGTCATTCCACTATGCTAGTTAGAATGAATGTTGCATTATCCAAAATCTTACCATACAACAAATCTTCTGTAAATGTCTATGGAGATTTTCAGTCATCTAGGTCACTTCCTCTTCAGAGCTGAAGAAGCTTCTTGGGTGAGAAGTGGAACGTCTTCAAAGAAAAAACAGAAATTCCAGTTGTCTCTTGAAAAAACACTTTTGGGACAGACCTTCTGTATATCAACTGCATTTATTTATCACATTAGATCCAGGAGTGAAATGCTACCAGTTTGCTCCGGTTCGGGCCAACCGGTAGTGATAAAAATTACCAGTCGAATTACCAGTAGTAAAAACAAAAGCTACCAGTTCAGGCGAACTGGTAGTTAGCTACCAGTTTGGTTGAACTGGCAGTTTAAAAAGCTACCAGTTCAGGCGAACCGGTACTTAGCTACCAGTTTGGTTTAACTAACAGTTTAAAAAGCTACCAGTTCAGGCGAACCGGTAGTTTTAAAAAAGCTACCGGTTTCTCTGAACTGGTATTTCCGACGATCAGCTGTGCAGTGGGGTTTAGCTTAGCTAGAAAACAGGAAATCCTGTTTTCTAGTGAAGCTAAATTGCATGCCACAGCTGATCCCCCCTCGCTTCTACTTACCTTCCTAAACCTCCTTTTTGTGCATACTGAGCATGTGCGTGCACGCGCAGAGTGTGCGTTTGGCACACAGTGTGCATGTGCGGCCAGCAAACTGGTAGCAAAACAATTCGTATTTAACCACTGATTAGATCCACTTCTGATCAATCTCTGTTTCAAAAAAATATAGTTTGTCCCAAGCAAATAGAATAATTGTTTCATTATTCCATAATGATTATAAGTATACACTTTTGGTAGATACATAACCTTTGACTCCTATGTAGAAGACTAGATTGGGTATTGCTCAGTATCTTCCTGAGTAGGGTGCTATAACTACTGTATTTCAAGTGAGTTCTAAGCATTATTAACATTCATTTCTCAATGCAATATCATCTTCAAAATGTAAATCAGATAGAAGCATTTTCTGTTGTAACAAAGCATATTTCATATTATAAATACTGTTCTAAAAGTAGATAGACAACTTGATCCTGATCCCAGTAGATAATGTTCTGAAGATGTTTCTTCTTAATTTTAAATGACCCACATGTACCTAACCTTTTATTTGTTAAGTGTTGAAATAGCAATATCCAGTATAGTAGTGATGGCAAAATTTCCCTAAAGTTTTAGAGTCACTCAGTAGTGAGATGGATGGCATATAAATTTAATAAATGAATAAGATGTTTTCTGGGGTAGTTAGAGCAACCAGATTAGGGCTGCAAAAATTCAGGATGTTATCTATTGGTCATCTGATTATTTTCATCTCAAAACCTTATGGATAGTATGGGTCAATACTTAAGAATACATTTAACTATGTTAATTTTACATTTATTACAATTCTGAATAGCAGGAAAGTGGATTAAAGAAAATGAAATGCCATATATTCATTAAGATCATACCAATTGTTCCTTTGTAGCTCTAGTTTAATCTGATTGATAATAATTCATACTCTATTCACATCTCCTGGATTTTGCAGTATTTTGTTTAGCTGCATTTTCATCACATCCCGGAAAGGACATTGTATGTTCTTTCCTGTTTGCAGAATGATATTTCACAGTGGGAGAAAGGAGAGAGGGAAGATGATTTGCATTTAGAGGCAAATCATTTTTTTCTGTCCAATCTGAACAACTGTGCATGGCAGAAATAGAATGTGAAATTATTTTCCAGTGAGACTCGCTGGCTGCCATTGTGAGTCAATCAAGGGTGAAAGTTTTGGTAGAAGCAGTGGAAATACCTAGTGTCATGCAATTTTAGAAGATTAATTTTCTGTGGTACTGACTGTTGACCTTAACTTTGGAAAACTATCAGCAGCCAGCAACCATTTATATGCACAGCGATGACTAAATTCCCCCTTAACTATTAAGGACAGGAATTCTCCTGCCATCAATTGTCCCATATCAGCAGCCAATGGTTACGTTTGTATTCTGCTTCATTAAACCTTAAATAGGCCAATTTTTAGAAATGGCCAGAGTTAATTTGGATTTTATTCATGTAATAATTTATTGTCACCCCGAGTTATTTTTAGGAATACAACAATTTAAAGAATAAAATATATGCAGAGTTCATATATTTTTTCCACTGAGAATCCAACTATACTATTAGTAACTTTGCAGTAGTGGCTATTTGTATTACTTTGGATTGTGGGATTTTAAATTAACCAGCACAATTCTCTGCAGTTTTTTTCTGGTACTTAAATTCAAATATGCTTTAAATGAACTCTGGGAAAAATGTGATTTTAGTATATTTAAAGTTGATTGTGTGAACAAAATGTATTTGTGGAATATGTGGTATCTAAATAAATAAACTTGAATTACAAAATTAGGACTTCAGGGGAAAAGTTCTAACTCAGTCTTTTTCTTTACACATTTTTTTTATGTGTGCAGAAAAGTCCTTTCTTTTCCCTTCTTTCTTAACTGCTACTACAACATTCAGTGTGCAGATTGGATTCTCTGTATGCCAGATAAAGTTGGAACAGTACTTCTGCAAGACACACATACCTGAAAAATTATGACACTCATAACTCCAAATAGCCTGGACATTTTCACAGAAATTTTAACATCTATATTGTCAAACTAGTGAAAAGTTGGCATTTTGTGATCAGATTTAATTTCCTTTGTCCACAAATAACCTGCCTAATCTTCAAGGGCCAAAGTGCAGAAGGAAATATGCAGATTTTTATAGACATATCCCTTCTGAAATAAACAACAAACTTGCTTAAAACAAAGAAAGTGAAATGATGACTGTTTAAAATAATGTAGCTCATCTCTCTTTCATCAGGTTTCATTTAAAACAAAGGCGAGAGCCAAACTTGATTTTTTAAAAATTTTATGTCTTCTTTTTTTCTCTCAGTACTTTTTTTTACTTCTCTTTTTTCTTAATTTTGCAGCTTTGCAAAGGGAAGCTGAAATAGGCAGTAAAGCTCAGATCTGTAGCAAAGAGGGACTAAAAAAAAATACAGCTGCATTTGCACCATATATCCTCACTGCAATCTACAAACACCCCCACTTTATGCTTTTCCATGGTTTGTTGATGAGATCCTTGTTCTGGTTTCCATCTCTCTTTCAGTGCTGGTGCTGGGAGGACAGGGTGCTTCATTGCCATAGACATCATGCTTGACATGGCAGAAAATGAAGGTGTGGTGGATATATTTAATTGTGTGAGAGAGTTGCGATCCCAGAGAGTTAACTTGGTGCAGACAGAGGTATCCTTTTTTGTTCTCTTGTTTTTCAGCCTACTCCTAAGCAAAAGTTCAGTACTTTCAGATGGATGTAAATTGAATAAAATAGAATAAGAGATAAACTTGTGAAAATATATATTTCAAAATATTTTCAGCACACTAGCTTAATTTTAATAAACTATGTCAGCTTAATTTAGTAACATTGCTTTCTATGATATAAAATACTTCTAAGCTCCATTATTGCTAAAGGATATATACATACACACATACAGTACATATATACATACAGTACATACATACATACATACATACAGTACATACATACATACAATTATTTTTTGTTAAAATTCTTACTGAAAGAGGTCACTGTAGAAAAGTCATCTTCTCCAAATGCCACTTTTAAAAATATATGATTCATACAAAAATGAAGCCTATGTTTACCACCAGATTCAAACAGCATGATTTATAATGGCCAACATTATATTCGTAGTGTATTTTCTGTTGAAATAGTTAACCCATATCAGTTTCCATGAGCTGAAATACAATCACCATTATAAGCACTTTCCTAGATTTCTCTAATTACCTAAGATTCAAGTAAATTCTATAACACAGTACATTTTGAGGTTATTTTATAAGATTCAGTGGTTGAAATCTTTAGAATCAAATTAGAATTTTAAATTATGTTGATTCTTTCTACTTGTGAAGCTGGTGAAAGTCTTTTTGGAGTTGGGAAGCCTAGAAATTCAATCAATCAACCAGTCAATCAATAAATAAAGAGTGCTTATGATCTTCTACAAGTTCATTCAGATATATTTATTGATCAGGGAACTGTGATTGTGTTCATTTTCCTTCTGGCAAATGATTAATGAGTAAAATAAGTCAGTTGGCTTAACAAACAATGAAACTAGACAGAGTATTTTATGGTTAGAATATTTCATGGAATCAAATTCTATCTTTATTTAAAATATTGAGGATTTAGGCCTAGCAATTTATTCAACCATGTAGACAGTAAAATGGCATGATGGCTCTGTAGACTAGACATAAACAATTACAATGATAAAATAGATTAATATGTAAGCAAAATAAGCTCATGGACGCGGTGGCTCAAGGGACGCGGTGACTCAGTGGTTAAGACATTGAGCTTGTTGATCAGAAAGGTTGGCAGTTTGGCAGTTCGAATCCCTAGTGCCGTGTAATGGGGTGAGCTCCCATTACTTGTCCCAGCTTCTGCCAACCTAAGCAGTTCGAAAGCACATAAAAAATGCAAGTACAAAAATAGGGTCCACCTTTGGTGGGAAAGTAACAGTATTCCGTGTGCCTTTGGCATTTAGTCATGCTGGCCACATGACCACGGAGACAACTTCGGACAGCACTGGCTCTTCAGCTTTGAAACGGAGATGAGCACCGCCCCCTAGAGTCGGGAACGACTAGCACATATGTGCAAGGGGAACCTTTACCTTTTTTAAAATAAACTCATTTTCAATAGTTTTTAATCTACTGAAATGATGATATTTTTTATAATACAGTTATCACCAATACAGTAATATATGCTCCCTCTGGATATAATTTGTCCAGAGAGAGGGAAAAAATCCTTTTTATACATCCAATGGTAAATTATACGGACTTCTCACACTGCATAATTTTGTTGGATCAAGAAAGTGTTTTGTTTTCTTGTTGAACTGAAGTTCTTGGAAGTTTCATTAAAGTAAAAGACATTACAATTGTTTCTGAAGACCTAGATGATGATGAGCAATTAACTTTTTTGATATCTAGGAGCAGTATGTGTTTGTTCATGATGCCATTCTGGAAGCGTGCCTTTGTGGCAACACTGCCATTCCTGTTTGTGAATTCAGATCTATATACTACAACATCAGCAGATTGGATCCACAGACAAACTCCAGCCAGATAAAAGATGAATTCCAGGTAAGATAATGGATAAATAATGTTCCTTATATATGCTCAGTCATAGAAAATTATGGGTAATGTGCCTGTGTTAAAGTAGATTTTATAAAGATTACAAGGGATTTTAATGATTATTCAGGATTTTTTCAAGGAAGAAGTGAACCCTATAAACACCAAAATCCTTTTCAGGTTAAAGTCCATCCAGCAAAGATCAGTGAAGACTTTTCTCACTCATATGAAATTGACAAAGACATCAAGGGGTCCAAATGCCTTTCATAGTCTGCATCAGAAAAAAAAATACTCAAGTTAATTCAGGATCCTCTTAGCCCCAAGAGTGTTTGTGGAGAAGAGCCAAACTTCCTCAAGTAATTTTTCTTGGAATATTCTCATTTATCTCTTCATTTGAGAAAGTCTCTCCTCTGTATAAAAAGGTATCATTTATAATAATGTCCACATGAAAGTCTCCAAGTGTGCTTGAAAACCACTTGGAAACTACTGCTGGTTAAGAATGCAGTGGCATGGGCAATGATAGATGTGCACTATATGCCTATTTCCCTGCTGTTTTGCAAGCTGCAGTGACTACCAATTGGCTTCTAAATGCAAATTAAGTTACTGGTTGTTACCATGAAAGCCCTAGGTCTGTGATGGCGAACCTATGGCACGGGTGCCACAGGTGGCACATGGAGCCATATCAGTGGGCACATGAACGTTGCCATAGCTCAGCTCCAGCATGCATGCGTGCACCGGCCAGCTGATATTTTGGCCTTCCGATCCCACCGGAAGTTGGGAAATGGGCTGTTTCCGACCTCCCGAAGGCCTCCGGGGGATGGAGAAGGCCGTTTTCGCCCTCCCCAGGCTCCTAGAAAGCCTCTGGGGTCAGTGCCATCACATGCTAAAAGCAGGGGGGCCCACCGTGCCATCACATGCTAAAAGCAGGGGGGCGCATGCGTAGGGGCAGGGCGCAATGAGTTATGGGTGTGGGCACACACATGGGTGACCTCCCCGTGCTCCCCCCACTTTTGGCACACGACAGCAAAAAGGTTAGCCATCACTGCCCTAGGTCCTGGTTACTAAAGGGACTGTCTGCCTCCATATATTTCCACAGCACAGGTTATCTGGGCACATTCCAGTTGCCATCAATTAAGCAGTTTCATCTTATGGGACCTAGGAAGGATAGTGATGACTCTCACTGATGGGCCCTCATTGTAGAATGCTACCTTCCCAGAGATTCATACTTTTCTCACTTTTCTGACTTTCTACAAATTGCTTAAGATCTGATTGTCCTCCTAGGTTGATTATTGGAGGCTTGGCATTTGGGATCATCAGTCAGCTATCCTTTATTTTTTTTCTTTATTCTTTTATCTGTAAGTTTCCTGAGGTGCTATAGAGTCAGGCAGCCTCAAAATTAATCATATAAATAATGTAATAAGAAGGTATTTGATAAGTAGAGATTTCATAGATAGAGGCAAATGTACAAGTAAGCCTTTCATTTCATGTCCTATCTCTCCAGAAAATGATTACAAAATGCCTGGCGAGGAAAGCTTATGTCTAGAAGCATGTGATCTTTGTCAAATAATTGACATACACAATTATCGAGTTCACATTGTTTGGAAATGAGAGAAGCCAAAGGAAATAGGTCAGGTTATTTCCAAGTTAATTTTAGGTGAGCCTTAAATGTCTCATCCATCTTTAGACATAAGATATATGATTTTAAATACTGAAAAAGAAATGAGAGATAAGAAACTAAATTTGAGGTGAAACTTCCTAGTCACAAGACTAAAATTGCAAAACTCAATCATGAAAATATAGGTAGGAAATGTGACTGCTTTCAAACATGCATGATAGATTTTTCCATCATTATTACAAAAATTTGCAAACCATACTTAGATATTAGAGTTATACTCCTGAAAGGTGTTTATCCGAGAGTGTTATAGATTAAGCATTGAGATTAGTTATTTCTTGATATTTAGTTCTTGTTTATCTTAAGTGTTTGCTTTGATCAATGTTCTGAGTTATGCTCATATTGCTTTATTTTCATATTGCATTACTGAAAAGTTACAATTCTATGACTCAGAGAAAATGTGATTAAAAGCCCCCACCTGCTCCATATTTATACTTGTCAGACTCCGTGCCAAGGTCTGATGGTAAATCACAGCTTTTCACCATGCTTAACACAACAATTGATTGCCTATTGCAATAAAAAAAAATGTTAGAGCCAATAGACATCTTACTGTATATGTACATAGCTCTCCTCAGAACTTAGTCTTTTCTCTCCTGTAAGTTAAAAGGGTCAGTCTTTTTATGGCCTTGAGAGACAGCTAAAAGATATTTCAGTAATGATCATTTCTAGCATAGGAATCAGTGATTCTCAGCTTGCATCACCTTTTGGTATGCTTTCTTTCAGCTCCATTAGTCTGCAGGTGTCAGGTGTTTCTCCCTATTCCTCCTCCTAATTGTGGACAGGCAGAAGCAATAGTGTTTTTCCTTACTTCTTTGACTGAAGCAAATAATACTTCCTGCCTTTCATGCTTCTCTGTTCCTTTGTTCTTCTAACACTGGACAGAGGAAGGGATTAAGAATGTGAGAAAACAAAAATGGGAAAAACACCTGTGAGAAGCTTCTTGTAATCAGTTTGGACATCTATTAGGTACTGTCTTTTATACTTTTAAGGCGATGGAGCCAATACTACAAAGCTTCCATTGATGGCCAAAGCCTCTTGTTAAAATCATTGTAGTTATTTTTGGCAGGAAGAAGTTGCCTGGAAGCAAATTCCCAATGGAGTCATCCTCAAATTTTGGAGCAGATTGTAGCAGCTCTCAGATGGAAATCAAAATAATCAATCAATGCAATTAGGTGATGGTAGAGCTGTACAAGGGAATATGGGCTACAGCGTGAATGTTGTTTGAGTTTAAGAAACCTTTATTGGACATTGAAATTTCTTGACAAAAAATAAGAACTTTGCCTTTCTGTATGTTCTCATTATAAAATCATTTAGACAAGCTAGCTATGTATTTGATTGAGAGGTGGTGAGAATTTATATTCAAGGAATAAGATTGAGTATGCAATGGTTTTGTTAATGACTGTATTTGGCCAGTAAGATACAAGGGTTCATGTGCTGAAGGAAAATGAATGTAGATGGTTGAGCCTCTGTAGCAGTAAGTCTTTAATACAATTGCATACAAAAGAGTGCCTTAGTGGGGGATTTACTGTGTGAAGTAACCTGGACCTCCACAAAAAAGACATTGGTCTTTTGTGCATGAACCTAATCTGTTTTTGGCAAATAGTGAGTTGTTTATTCCCAGATGCATTGGTTCAGCTTCTAAAATCTCACAAGTATGATGAGAAGTCAAGGAACAGTGGTGACTTTCTTTCCTGCTTATTCTGCAGCATTGCATCACATCTTCAACTGATGGCCAAGCAAATTAAATGCTGTCATATTCTCTGCAGTGCATTGACAAATGGGTTTGTCTTGTATTTCTTCTGACAGTCCCTCCCTGAATTGGTCAGTTAAGCATTCCAGCCCACATGCTGAACTAACAACTGAAACTCAGCAGCATATTCTTGCACTGAATGCTTATTTTTTTCAAGTGATGGATTTCACAGTCAGCAGGCATTTGTTTGAGTCAATTGTCAAAGTTAAAACTTGAGCATGCCATTAAATTAGTAGTATAGTTGTCCAAGTCTGGAATCTTCAAAATCAGAAAGGAGGGTATTTTCTCACAGTTATTAGTCTAATCATTATAGGAGCAGAACTATGTTAATCTCACCAAATATCAGCAAGAATCTATTAGCACTTCTTCAGAATAACACATTTTATTAAAAAGCATAAGCCTTGATGAATGGTAGTTCATCTGATTCATAGAACAGTTCAATTGACATAGGATTTAAACTGGGAGGAGGCAAGGTGGTGCAAAAAAGATGTTTAAGCAGGTTACATGCAAGATGGATTACAACTGGCACTTGTAATGTATTTTTACAAGGAGTTTATTAAGACTTTTTGAAATACCTTGAAAATTTTTGATGTATGTGAGTTGTGTGGTCTGTCCCTCTATAGTGCTGATAAAGTTTTGTTGTTCCAGAACAGCTACCTTGAGATCTATAATCAAGTTTCTTGGGAAATTAAAATGCACCAATATTGCTTTGTCCTTGTTTTAACTCCTGATATTAAACATGTCTATTAATTGTTTTGCACAAATTCTTGCCTAGTTGTCCAATGTGGAATAAGAGGAGATTGCTGACAGATAACAACATTTATCTAATTAAAGGAAGAGTGTGTGCTATAAATGTGCCACCAATCTTGATTGTCAAGCTGTTGGGGCCTATGATGACACTGTTGGTGTAAATGTGGGACATCTGGTTTGTTGCAAGGCACGATTCTCCTTGGTTAGAATCATTATTTGTTGCTGGTGAGAATCTGTTTCAGGCTGTATCAGTATAAGTAAGTATGGATAAACCACCCAGTGCCTAAGAAAGTGGCCACCACAGCTAAAATCCCAAAGAATGAATTAATACCAAATGTCAGATAGTATATGATAAAGCTTTCTTTATAGAAATAATATCAGTTAAAAACAATATACTTAGTAAGGGGAGCTCAAATGCACCAACGGCAGGAGAGGCTACTCATAATCCCTTGTGTCTGTGCTTAGGGGCCTTTAGTACATGTATTTATAGGCCTGGATTCTCCCCTCCGATCTGGTATTAATAAATGGTGCCAGAATGATTAATGTTTATGTTTATGTTTATTGGACTTCTATACCGCCCTTCTCCCGAAGGACTCAGGGCGGTGTACAGCCATATTAAAACACATATAAATTTACAAAGTTTAAAAACAATTTAAAATCGAATATATAAAAAATTTGGCCCACAAATTAAAAACTAATATACACCCATTATAAAATTCATATTAGGCCAGCCCGGCTTGTTGGAACAGAAGGGTCCTCAGGGCGCGGTGAAAGGTACGCAGGTCGGGGATCGTACGAACCTCTAATAATCAAGTGGGTATTTCAGCATTCATATCAGTAAAAAAAAAGTCTGTGGGAATAAGCATTATTTCTTGCTCCCTAAGCTGAATGTGGGAAATTGATCAATGGGAAATGGAAAGCCAGTTATGTGGCTAGCAAGACCAGAGGGTTAACTGCCTTGTTAGTTAGAGCAGTCAGGTCAATTACATTGTTAGCACAAGGGCAGTTATGCTGTTAGAGACTAGAAAGGATAAGAAGGGAAAGCAGCAAGCTCATTGTCCCTGCTTCACAGTGTACAGAATGGCTTTCTTTGGAAAAAAGAAGAAAGTAGCAAGGACAAGCTAGCTTGACTGAGCCAAAATTGATCAACTATGCAGTATAATTTTTATATCAGAAAGTAATATTACTGGGTTATAGCATATTGATATATTTTAGTTACTAACAACTGGCTAAATGCTTTGTGAATTTGATTGATAGGAAAACTATCTGATCTCAGGGACATAGTGTTCACATTGTATGAGCAAGACCATAAATTGGATTCCCATTGTATGTGTTATGCAAGAAGGCTGATATTGATGTCAAGATGGCTTCATCAGCTCCAACAATGACTGCAAAGAGTTGAGATGTGCAGATATCACCACCACCCTCAAAAGATTCTGGGACACTCTCTTGCCTAATTGGGACTACATGTGGTCCTTTGTTTTGTTCCGGTTGATTGTGATCAGTTGGGGGTGGGGGTTGGGGGAGCGGAGGAGAGACTGGAATAAGCATAGATGATTTGGAGCCTTGAAAAATAATTAGTAAGTTTGTTAGAGGGTCAGTAACCTCAGTTAAATTCTTAGTTTTACTTTTTGTATGTTGTTTTTTTTAACAAAACTTCTCTTCCTGTAGAGTATGGGCAAGCTAAGTGGTTTGGCTTTATACCTGGTCTCAACACTGCATTACAAATGCTCACATTCTTAATTTCCTATTCAGTCTTGGTAAAATAATCTCAAGATACTAAGGCAGCATTTGGATTTAGTGTACTTTTTACAATCTATTGAAGTTCTGTTACAATACAACAATGTCACTTGTGGCGATTAACAAAATATACTATGACCAAATTGTTTGGCTTTGCTTATGTTATCACATTAATTATTTGGATAATTAATAATGAATTTTTAGAAAGAGTTTGACTTGTTAAATAGTTTCAAAATGAGTTTAGCAGAAGTCACCCATCACTAAGCTCAAACCATCTGGAGATCTGTAAGTCTTCTGAATTACTCAGTCTATCACCATTTTAAACAGATTTTTCATTAACAATCTTCAATATGACTCATGTTCTATTTTTGTAATGTACATATCATATTTGTGTGCACACTGTGCTTTTAAACCACGCAGTTTGGCATAGATTTGATTGTTTCTATGTAGGAGCTGTCTAAAATATTTAGATGCTGGTTCCTTAAAGAATTCTTGTGCTCATTAAGTGAATGACCACAAAGATTAACAGGAAGACCCTTATAGTAGCACTAATAGGCCTAGGTTTGTTTGTAGTTTATAGCTAACAGAACAATTTAGGACTGCAGGCATAGTGAATGTTGATTTATCAGATTAGTGAGAAGGAAATATTGCCAAATCATTAAGAGGCCAACAATCTATCTATTTGCATGATGTAGCTTACCATGTGCATCCTGGCAAAGGAAAGATCATTACAAGGGATTTAAGGTTGTGCATTTTGCCAGATTGCTGCCTGATGGGGCTCCATCAAAAGGATTTAATGGTATGTATTGTAGCATAAAAGCTTTCGAGAGCAGGGGGGATTCAAATCTAGTTATAACATGAATCAAATCTTGCTGAGATCATAGATTTAAATATCACATGTTTGTCAAGATGAAGTCTCTTTCTGGTTTCAACATTTAGAAACCCCATTTCTCTAGATAAAAGAGTAAATGAATGCTACCCAATATAGTGCTAGACTGATAAATTTCATTATATGTGGGGGACATTAATCTATTAATGGCTGTATAATTTCATAGATGAAAGATTATATGACAGGTTAAGAATTATTGAAGGCACCAAATGCACTCATTTTTCAGCTGAAACAGATACAGATTGTCAGTTGTATTTAACTACGGTATAAAGATGCTGTGGCAACATCTTTTTCTACCATGTTGCCATGAAGTTGCCTTCATCTTCTCTCCAGCCAATGGTTATACAGGCTTAAGTTGTCCTTAACTGTACCCATAATAAAAGTATTTTCCCCCTGAAACGCAGTTGCAAGAGGTGGCAGTTGCATGATGTAAAATATGAGCACTTCATTGCTCATATTGGGTGACCTGTAGCTTTGGATTTAGCTGGACACATATTAGACATTTCAGGCTGATACAGGAATACCCTGTATGCCATGGGATAGAAGCTCCCAACAGCCATGGGAGCTTCTACGGCATCTGCAAGACTGATGTGGGGCTGCTGCCATGTAAAGTGGACTTGTACAATTGTACAACAGTGCCAAAACCATGCTCATTTACTATATTTTTATATATTTGCACATAGATTGCGTGTGATTGACTTTGTGAACCTGTACTCTTCTCAGGTCCCTTCTTTATCAAAGAAAAGGCTCAGGAGCTCCTAGTTATCAGACACTATACATCATCAGTGCTAGTGGTTATGGGCTTTTTTTCCTGTTTATATACAGTATGTTGCCCTGCCAGTGTTGGTGGGGGTGTGGTTTTTCTCCTTGGTAGTTCCTTGTTTAGAGTATTGTTTTCTGCTTGGCTGTTTGTTTGGTGCTAATCCCTGCTTATCTGGAAATAGGATGCTGGAGATGCTGTTCTTTTTACTTCCTTCTTAACTTTTTTTTAGTGCCTCTTTTAAAACCTATTGTCTACTTGGCTAAACATCCCCCAGTGTCCACTTGTTATTGAATCTTTGTGCAATCATCAGGAGAGGATTTTCCATATAAAAAAAGCAGCAGCAGGAAGAGAAATTCAGAGTTCAGAAAAGAGAAAGAATGTCACCCCATCCAAAAATCTTTCTCACTGTCTTAGCTTCCGTACCCATGAGAAATAGCGTAGGAGATTTTGATTTCAAATCTCTCATATCACATAACATTCATAATTCTTCTAGCCCCTGCCCAGGTTAGGGAGAGTGATTAATGAATGCTTTTTTTCCCTGATAGCTGGTGACATTTGGGGGGAGTAGGAACAAAGCAAATCACTTTTCTTAACTTGTCATGTAATAAATTTATAAGGTAGTACAACTTCCTGGCCTTGTTACTAAGGCAGAAAAGGGCATAGATTCTGCCACCTGAAGATTGGAGGTAAGAATTTTATCATGTAGACACTTGGTGAGTGGACAAGACAAGTAGGACATAAAGTCACATCTTTAGCAAGTTTAAGATTAATCGGTCCCTGGTTTTGCTCCAAATACAGACCCTTAATATTGTTACTCCTCGAGTACGTCCAGAAGATTGCAGCATTGGACTTTTGCCAAGGAATCATGATAAGAATCGCTGCATGGATGTACTTCCTTTGGATCGGTGCCTCCCTTTTCTTATTTCTGTTGATGGAGAATCAAGCAACTATATTAATGCTGCACTCATGGATGTAAGTAAAGCTCTTGTTTAAAAAAATGTGAAACAGAATAAAACAGAATAACTTGAAGCACTATTGTCTTTCTATCACGTTTGTATTCCCGCTTTTTCCAAAAATACTGAAAAAGGTATCAATACATTCAGTGGTGGGTTTCAAAAATTTTTACTACTGGATCTGTGGGTGTGGCTTGGTGGGCGTGGCATGTCTTGGTGGGTGTGGCTTGGTGCGCATGGCAGGGGAAGGATATTGTAAAATATCCATTCCCATCCCATTCCAGGGGAAGGATACTGCAAAATCCCCATTTCCTCCTGATCAGCTGGGACTTGGGAAGCAGAGAATAGATAGGGGTGGGGCCAGTCAGAATGTTTACTACTGGTTCTCTGAACTTACTCAAAATTTCCGCTACCAGTTCTCCAGAATTGGTCAGAACCTGCTGAAGCCCACCTCTGAATACATTGCATCTCACTTTTATCCTGTTTGATCAGTTGTGCTGAGAAAGAGTGATTGCGATGGCTGGAAGGGAATTTGAGATCAAAATTACAAAATCAAACATATGTAAGAACAAAATTATCAAGCCTTTTTTCAAAGTGAAAATTTAGAAATTGGGCAAGGATTGACTTTATGACTGAACATATATAAAAAAAATGAATTCAAATGAAAATAATGATTCTATCAATTTTAGCTGAAAATGACCTGTTTCAGTGTGATAGTCTTTTCATCGTATAAATGAATCACTTTTAAGAGCAAGATATGGGAAGGATATCTCCCATACGTTAATTACAAAATGACACATCATAAGGGGTGGGGAATGCCCTTGTACAGTGTATATTTATTCTAGATTCAGCATCTGTATTCAGCTGTTTGGGTTACAATTGTTTGAATCCGACTTTAAAAGAAACAAATCCAAAATGTAATCCATATTTTTTCCTTCTTTCTCTTCTTTGTTATTTAACATACAGTCAGTTATGATTACAAGTGAGCACCTTTGCTATAAAATCTAAGGTTTGCATGTTTCACAATTTAAATAAATAAATACCTTCAGCTGCAGTATGTAATCTTGTCAGAGTGACTCACAGGCATTTTGATAGCAAGTATGCATCTGTTATCTAACAGTTGAGTGCACAGGGCTCTTTACTGCTTCACTAAGCAAAAGCTGTTTGTTTTTTTTTAAACAAACCTTCTGTGTCTAACTTCGAGCAGCTGCCAGCAATAAAACTGTTGGGGGTGTTTTTGTTTTGGTTTATCTTTACAAATATTCCACATAGGAACAAATTCCACAGTAAATGCTGAAGGGTTTCTCATACTACATGCCTTCTTTCTGACCTACCTACCTTGATTTCAGATGTGGCTTGCATTTATAAGTGCCTAACTCTGTAGCCATGTATGTTGTATCATATATATTCAGGACACACACCAACATGATGATTTCATTGCTATAAAATCTCTAACTGTAAAAAAAACCCCAATCAATCATACATAGCTATATTACCAAGTCTTATTCTGTCCCTTAAATAAACAAAAATATTACATTACTTTAAAACATAGGGGTTTTTTTCCCCCATTAAAACCATCCCAGGCAGGATAAATACCATTAGATAGGAAAATTGAAGAAAGAATGCTGGTTCTTTGCCTACATGGATGCCTATCTTGGAAGTTGCTTGGGGAATAGAAGAGAGAAAGTTGGATCAGATGTATCTCTTGGAGTACATGCCTGCATTTTGGTGTCCCTCCAGTGATGACTTGTTCTCTTGCCTCTCTAGTATGGTGACAGTGTGCTCTAGAAAGCAGGACTTTCAAAGAGCATTTCAAGGAGGAATCTTCTGCTGATGTGCAGTTAAGTCTTGAGTGAGACAAGAAGCTCAGAATCTGGGGAGTATTATTTCTGATACCTCTATCCACTTTTGTTACCTTGAGGTAGATCAGGGGTGTCAAACTCAATTTCATTGAGGGCCACATCAGGGTTGTGCTTGACCTCAGGGGGCTGGCTGGGTGTGGCCATCTCAATGTTACTCATGTTGGGGGTGCTGTTGTGGCCTGAATGCTCTGCCAGGGAAAACGGAGCTCCAGAAGGCAGGGTATGGCCCTCTCAAGCTCCATTTTTGCTGGCAGAGGCACTGTGGGTTCGTCCTTCGCTATTTACAGGGCGGCCCCACAGGCTAGCTCTAAGCACCCCATGGGCTGGATCTGGCCTGCAGGCCTTGAGTTTGACACCCCTGATGTAGATGAAGGAAAGTTCCTGGTAAATTTGGATATATATTTTTTTTTTAAGTATACAGATTGATCTCTGGGTGTTTCTTTCTTCATAGCAATTTTTATTTGTTTTTTAATATGTTTTTTGCATTCTTTCAAGCTTTGCTATTCAGATGCAGGTTAACAAGGGCTTGGATTTTCTGTTCCCCACTGTAAGATTCTCATAAGAAATGACTGGCACTACCTCAGCATGGATCCTGATTTGTTTGGGACTCAGGACTATTTTTAAGTACCTGTCAGAATGCTAGCTAAACTGCTTTAAGGAGATGGATATCTCCTTTTTAGGCTTATCCCAAATCCTAATCCATGTTTATTCTACAGATGTTCAGAAGGGATCGTTTATTCATTTAAATGGTAAACTGTAGGCAAAACACAATAATACTTTAAATGTGTAATCTCTTTTTTATGCCAGCCTTTTCTTACACTCTAAAGCACAGGCATAACTTGGAATTTTTAAATTTGAGGGATGCTAATGGCAATGTAAATAACAGGATCTGCCCTTCTGGGCCAAATGTTTGTCACTAATGAAAATCAGTAGTTGACTTCTAGAATTTTACTGTTGTATAAAAGAAGAAATGTTGGTAAATATTTTTTTTCAATTGTAATGTTTTAGAATTAGATAAAGATTTTTAATTTTACACACTGTATTGATATCCTGTTTTCCCCAAAATAAGACATCCCCTGATAATAAGCCCAATTGGGCTTTTGAGCGCATAGCAATAAGACCGAGTGCTTATTTCAGGGTTCAAATAAAATATAAGACAAGGTCTTATTTTCAGGGAAACACGGTACTACTTTTGGGCCTATAATTTTGGGGGAATTTTCCTTAACTCCTTTTTATATATGGGGACAATGCAAAGTTCCCATCCTGTTTGGATACAGCCACTATTATTCATGTGAAAGAATCCCCCATCAGTAGGGCCCACCAATTAATATACTTTTTCTATGATTTTCTGTCTAAGAGATAAAATTATCTGAAATTGAGACTCATCTTCCTTTGGGATAAATGTGCTGGTTCTATCAATCACTAATACAATTAATTTAATTAAATATAAATATGATCTTGAGTTGACCTCAATGCTTGGTGAGTGCATCAATTCAGTTTTCTTGGCAGTGTTATGGCAGTAGTTTTCCATTGCCTTCTTCTGGCTCTTGTTTTTGTTTTATTCTCCAGTCTAGCCAGCAGCTCTAAAATTCCCAGGTACATTTCCCATCTAAGCATTAACATCTATCTAAGATAAATGCTTAGGGAAAATATGTCTGAAATATAATTGATACATTTCAACTTTTAGAGGTTTAAAGGCATTTTTTTGAGGCTAAGCTCTTAAAAAGGAAGAAATACTTGTTTAGGTTAAGGGTAGCAGAAGCTTGTTGTGTCAACTTAATTTATCAGATTCCAGCTTCCCCATTATTGATTTCCTTAGGAAAAGTCTTGCTTCCAGCTGGCATGTTGAGTCATTTATTCTAATTGTTATGCAAAAGGGATAATTCTTGTTCCTGTGCTTCCTCTCTAATGAAATAAAACCTTATTATGCAGGCTGTTTCTATTCAATGGGGTGGCAAAAACAGAGTATGAGGTGTGATTTGTATAATCTGTTTATGTTAATCTGTTTGCCTGTCCATAGGCTCCCTGGTGTAATATGCTTCTCAGTAAACAATATCGGGTTTTTGTCACTAATGTGAATCCTTTTCCCCTCATTGTTTTTTTTTTCTACCTTTAGAGCCACAAGCAACCTGCTGCCTTTATAGTTACTCAGCATCCATTGCCCAACACTGGAGCTGATTTCTGGAGGCTAGTGTTTGATTACAACTGTTCTTCTGTTGTGATGTTGAATGAAATGGATGCTGCCCAGGTAGGTGGATTGTTTAAGAAATAAGCATGTATGGATCAAGCATTTTTACTTACTATTGGACCCATCTTAAATACATGTGTCAGGGTTTCAAGCAAGGATAAAATCTGGCAGGTTCTGACATGTTCTGGAGAGCCGGTAGCGGAAATTTTGAGCAGTTTGGAGAACCGGCAAATACCACCTCTAGCTGGCCCCAAAGTGGGGTTGGAATGGAGATTTTGCAGTATCCTTCCCCCAGCAGTGGGGAGGGAATCAGGATTTTGCAGTATCCTTCCCCTGGCATTGCCCACCAAGCCGCACCCACAGAACCACTAGTAAAAAAATTTGGATTTCACCACTGGTTCCAAGTAATAAATCCATTGCAAGCAAAGACTCCAGGCAGGTAGATTCCTCAAAAAACAGCTTTATTGGAAATATCATATTGGCACATATCTGGTGAAAACCGACTCTGAAGGGTCCCTCGGTTTTCACCTAATTAAAAGTGAAAGTTTTCCCCCCAATCCCAAATGCTCAGTCAATGGCCCAATCAAGGCAGCGTCCACTGGTCAGGTGACATCACTCTTCCTTCCTCCAGCCAGGTGTGAGAATGTCCTTGGTTCCCAAGACAAAGTATTTTGCTTTGACTACACAACCACAGCTATATCTAATCCCCACTCCCTATCCCTCAGCTCTAATGTGACAGCACTGAAGCTCCAAGATGGCTTCGGCCAGGCCAGCTTCAGGGTTGACAACATGGATAAATGCTTTAATCTGATTTCTTTAATAAATAGTTTGGCCAGCTCTGATAATAATTCCCATCATTAAACAAGAGTTTAGGCTAGTGAAATATAAAGGTGAACAATAATTTGCAAAACTGGGACTGGACATCAAGAGAATGATTTACTCTGTATCTGTCATTAATATTTTATGTTGTATACAGAGCGTGTTCAAGGTGTCTTTTAATACAAATGAACATTCTAAGATTTTGGGTGAAAATTGGTGTTTAGCATGTCTCCTTTTTTTCCCCTTCTGATTTGTGTTTGTTTTCCTTTTGTTATGATCAGCTTTGTATGCAGTACTGGCCAGAGAAGACATCTTGCTGTTATGGGCCAATCCAAGTGGAATTTGTTTCTGCTGACATAGATGAGGATATTATTAATCGGATATTTCGGATCTGCAACATGGCAAGGGTAAATAAAAGTCAAATAATTTTCTATCAATATTCATTCTGCAGATATTAATTAGGATGCCTTGGGATAATATAATATAATATTATATCAGGATGTCTTGTTGGGATAATGTAGGTGGGATGATCATATTGTTACTGTTCTTCGGCCTGCCTGCCTTTCTCTTTTGACCATAGAACATCAGAGAGTTTAGGATTATTGAAAGGGATCAGTTATAGGAGATGAAGCCAAAATAGTTATTTTGTTCCATTCTGTTTGTTCCATATTACTTTTTTCAATCGTTCCAATTTACTCTTTATCATTCTACAGGATGCTAGAATGATCTCCCCTTACTTATTATAATAAATACTTATAATTATTTATCATCTTGCTTGAATAGTTTTATGCCCCCATTAATTGCAGTATTGGCTAATATTTCAATAATGGAGGCTTATTTCCTAATTCCTGCCTTGTTTTTTATAAACTATATCTCATCTCTCCTAGCTGTTCTCCATTTAACCTTGAACTTGAATTTTTAAAGCATGTAATACACTAGAACAGAATGGCGTCTATGAATCCAGGTTTTGCATGAGAAAGGTCAAGGAAATATATAATCGTAAATTTTAGTATACATTGGCAATTGTCCATAGCTTCCTCTAATATAGGCAGTCAGCTAATACAGGTATTCCTCGGCTTACGACCACAATTGGGTCCAAAATTTCTATTGTTAAGTGAGACATTTGTTAAGTGAGTTTTACATTTATTGCTACAGATGTTAAGTGAATCACTGCAGTGGTTACTGTTCTGCCCCAGTACGGACCCCAAAGAACGCAGCACACACAAAGTCTGTACAAATCTTACTTTACAAAATTAAATCAATCTTTTTCAAACAAAGGCTGTTAATTAACTTTCTTAACAGCCAACAAGAATCCAAAGAATAAATAATTGTAATCTACTATGGTTGGCAGAAAGCCCAGAAGCAATTTGCAGGAAGCTGATAAGAGAACTAAAATCAAGATGAAGGAGAATGAAGTTATTCCCTGCAAATTGCCTCAGTCGTCATCCTTCCTTAAATAGACTAAGCCAATTAGCCCCAAGCCTTACTCTCAAGGAGATCTCCTCCTGAGGAGCCACTCCTGCCTTTTGGCAGCTCTGCGTGCCCATGCATCAAGAAGAGGCTCCTCCTCTTCTTCCTCTTTACTTATGGGAGCTTCTGGAGGTTCTGAAGGCCCTGATTGAATCCCTGCCTCTGGCACCACATCTTCTCCAGCCTCCTCATTGTCTGACTCGAGTGCCAGCTGCACAAGCTGCTGGTGCAGCACCACACCAGCCTCCTCGCTGTCGGAATCAGCTACTAGCTGCACAGGCTGCTGATGGGCTGCAACAGTTACTAACCTGGTTGTTAAGTGAATCTGGCTGCCCTATTGACTTTGCTTGTCAGAAAAAGTGATCACATGACCCTAGGACACTGCAACGGTTATAAATATGAACCAGTTGCCAAGCATCTTAAATCACATGATCATGGGGATGCTGCAAAAGTCATAACTGTGAAAAACAATAATAAATCACTTTTTTCAGTGCTGTTGTAACTTTGAACTGTCACTAAATGAACTGTTGTACATTGAGAACTACTTGTATAAATAAAAGAGAAAGGCTAACATGGTTTCAAGATATCCCATTTGGCAGTCCCTCTTCCATCACCCAATCTATATTCTGCTACAAAGCATTGACAATGAAAACAATTGCTCTAATAACAGATATGATATTAAGTATCCCCTTTAAACTATTACTTGTAAGTAAAATGGTGCCTGCAAAGGTAGACATAAGAGTCAGACTATTTATCAGCTACAATTTTCTTTATAATGGTTTTAGAAAATAATCGCAGTGTCAATGCTAAATATGCCCTTGATATTCAATCTTTTGAAGTAAAATCATTAGCTGAATATCATTATTGTCTGTTAATTTAAAATGATTTTTCTTTCCATTTTTAAAAGAAAAGAATTAATTTTATTCTAGACCTGACATTGTCCCCAAATGTGCTCATCACATTCAAGAGAGAACTTACAGGTTCTGCTAGTTACTAGTAACTGAATCTATGTGGTATATTTCTAGATGATGCTTACAAAAGGCTTTTTAAACATGGCATCATTGGTTTCTACTCTGAAGCAGGAAAAGTGTTTCCTTAATTTTTCTGTTATAACTGAAGAATGTTCTAATATTATGCTCATTAAAAGGCCAGCTGAGATAAACACTTCTGAAAATATTCCCCAATTCCTGCAACCAAAATGAATGAGAAATCTTCTTTCAAAGTTCTTAAAATACAACACATGTTCTTATGGTGGTATATAGAAGTATCCATACCTTCCTTTTCAAGATTCAACCAATCTGCATTCTTTTCTTTAGCCGCAAGATGGGTACCGTATTGTTCAACACTTGCAGTATATTGGCTGGCCAGCATATAGAGACACTCCTCCTTCTAAGCGCTCTCTCCTGAAAGTGGTCAGGCGGTTGGAAAAGTGGCAGGAGCAATATGATGGGCGAGATGGACGGACTGTGGTTCATTGCCTGTAAGCATTTCTGCACCCTTGTTTTCTGTATTGAGTCTGGATTGCCTGTCTGAAAAGAAGGAGAAGCATTGCAAACTTGGTCACTTTTATGGATTACCCTGTACTGTTTGATACACATAATTAAAGAAAACCTGAAGATCCAAATGTCTGCTTAGTATAGTATTATAGAGCTAAAAATTAATATGTTGTTTATTTGTTATCATTAAGCCTGCCTCTCAATAACTCTGGTTCAATTGTCACTCTAAACTACTCCCCTTCTCCATTCATAAATCCTAGAATATTTATGTTGTGATGTCAGATGGATGAGTCTAGTATTTCCCTCATTACTCTAGATCACTGAGAAATGTTGACGGCTGGCTAAATCAGCATGTAGGGGAGGAATACTGATTGGAATGTTTAGCTGGCAAAAGAAAGCAAAAGTTCCAGTTATCCAAGGATGTCAAATATTGATGATAACCTGTTATTAATTATATAGTCCAGAAGTATCACACATTAATACTTTATATGAGATATGATGTGATAGAATATTGTGTGTCCCAACAAGAAAAATTAGAATGCTACTATGTCTGCTGTTTCTGTTCTGAATTTAATGTCATTGAAAAACATTCATGCAAGTAAATTGTATATATGGCTGTTACATGTAATTGGTAGTCTTGCATTTGGGTAGATCTCATAGATTCCCCTTGAAGTTCTCTTCTGTTAAGAACAAATGTAATTTCCTAAACCAGTTCTTATTGTTTATGCTAGGAATGGTGGTGGCCGCAGTGGCACCTTCTGTGCCATATGTAGTGTGTGTGAAATGATCCAGCAGCAAAATATCATTGATGTATTTCACATAGTGAAAACCTTACGGAACAACAAGTCCAACATGGTGGAGACATTGGTAAGCATAATAGGTTGATTGCTTCTTGCTCCTTGAAATAAAATATTCACAGTCTCTTCTTGTTTCTAAGCATCCATTTTGGATTTGATGTATTATTCAGATAATAGCAGAAGCTGCATTATGTACTTAGAAAACTCCTTAGGAACACTTATTTTAAAGTACATTTAAATTGCTTTTTGTTTTGAAAGGCGGGCAAACAGCATCTATCCATAGTTAATAAAATCTATTAAAATAAAATGCATTTAATTCAGTATTCAGTAACCCCTAAATACTGGGGATGTCGCACACTTCGACAATAATTCAGAAGATGTCTTTTTTTAACCTTGTACAAGCAGAGCACTTCTCTGTTATTCTATAAAGCTTTTCAAGCTTCCAGGTGAGCCTGAATGAAAGATGTGGCTGTTTTGAGAATTGTTTTAAAAGATTTCCAATCTACTTACTCAAAGTCTATGAAACGAATTTGTTTTTAAACTCTGGGTGCAAAATAGAAACCTTCAGTGTTCTACCTGTGACCTTTGATGTTATCTCTCCTCTATAGAGAAAATGATGTGAGATAAGTTGAATCTATGGGCAATCTATGTGTCTACACACATAGTAGACACACTGCCCCATACTTAATATACATAAAGTATACTTTAGATCTTTGAGGATGGTGTTTATGTGTTGGCTTGTTGAGATTTTAAATAATATATTCTACATTCTAAGATTATGTCCAGTGGTAATTTATGTGTTGTGTTTATTTACTTAATAACCCTAATAGAGTACTGCTTGCCTGTCCATTTAAGGGTGAAAAAGAAACAAAATGAGAAACAAACTCAGCCAATTTTAACCATAGTGAAAGAATAAAATATAAATAATTCAAATAATATCAAATATTCAAATAATATCAAATAGGGAAATATATCCCCTTATTTGAGAGCAATATAAGAAAAGGTCCTTTATGCCGGAGTAACAGATTTCTGGATAGATTTATAAAAAGTTATGAGACTTTAAATAGAGGGACCAAAAATAAGTCAGTTTAAAGTTTCCTTAGAACTAACTCTGAAAGAAACATTAGTAGCAAATGTAAGACTTTTCATATTACTCTCATATCATCTAATATAACCACTTGCATTTTGGAACAATGGAAGCTTTCAGATATTTTTCCTGAAATGTGAGGTAATTAAGACATGGATTAGTTATGGACAGTGGGCAGATATTATCACAATCTAAGAATCCAGAAACAACATAACGTCAGGGAAAATGTTTGGGTTCTTTCTGGTGGAATACAACAACTTCCAAACAAAGTTGAATTCAACTGTCAAGCCAGCATTTTCATTTTAATCTCAGACTCAACCAGACTTAGTCAGACAATGTGAGTATTTTACCTGCTTGCTTTATATGAGATGACATAATGAGAGGTCTGAGAGATGACAGAATGTTAGCTTCAATATATTGGTGAAGCTTAGCCTAAAATAGTTCATTTGGAACTGGTCTATAATTTTTAAATCAACAGGGTCAAGTATAGGTATCTTAACTACTTTAAATAAAATTGAACAATTGCCTCTCTTCTGGATGGCTGTTCAGAGGATGTATTAATAGCAACATTATGATAGCAATGAATAAAATGGACATATATTTTGGTCACCCTTTATACTGGCTCTTGAAAGAAAACATGTCCATTTATTGCCTGTGGATTCCCCCTCCCCCCACCCCAACTCTCAAATTACTTAATTGTAGTTGGGCTATATCCATTAATTTCAGTAGGAATAAGGTAACTAGCAAATAATATAGAAAGTTTCTTACATGGACACATATACACATATTGCAACTTAATTATTGCTCATGTGAGGGTACCCTGTAAAAGATCTCAAGCCTCGACTCTGTCAAATTGGGATATCAATGTAAGATACTGGATCATATGTTGGTAATACTAAAAATCTGCACTAGAGTTTGATTGTTTCGTAGCCACAATTTAAGATACTAAATTGGATTAATCTTTAAATCTTTAAATAACTTACAGCTTGAAATGTGTGGTTCCCAATTGTTCACTGGCATTCCAATGGCACAATAGCATTCCATGAAAAAATTACTGACACACTAAAGTACTTCACAGTGCTATGAATCTCTGACTTGGGCATTTTGAGAAACGACGTCTGCAGCAGTGGTGAAATTCAATTTTTTTTACTACCGGTTCTCTGGGCGTGGCTTGGTGGGCATGGTGTGGCTTGGTGGACATGGCAGGGGAAGGTTACTGCAAAATCTCCATTCCCACCCCACTCCAGGGGAAGGATACTGCAAAATCCCCATTGCCTCCCCACTCCTGGGGGAAGGATATTGCAAAATCTCCATTCCCAACCCACTCTGGGGCCAGTCAGAGGTGGCATTTGCCAGTTCTCTGAACTACTCAAAATTTCCGCTACCAGTTCTCCAGAACTTGTCAGAACCTGCTGGAATTTCTCCCCTGCTCTGCAGATATTAAGTTGTCCAGATATGTTGAAGCTTTCCATATAGTAGGAGCTGCAGGAGAAGCACTTTTGAAGTGCTCTACTTTTACAGAATGTTATTCATTAATATATGAATCTCCTAGATCAGTCTCAATTTATTAAAACTTCTTCCTTGGGAATTATATACTGCTCAAAAAAATAAGGGGAACACAAGCAGAAGACATCCAAGATCTGAATGAATGAAATAGCCTTATTAAATACTTTGTTTTTTACATTCAGTAGTTTATATACTGCTCAAACAACTAAAGGGAATACAAAACTACTGTATGTAACGAACAAAGTATTTAATAAGGCTATTTCATTCATTCAGATCTCGGATGTCTTCTGCTTGTGTTCCCTTTATTTTTTTGAGCAGTGTATTTAGTTTTCTAACTTTTCATCTTTAGAAGAGCAGGTAAAATACAGATTCTATGGTAGGCCCATATGTATTTGTCTTTTTTAAAAAAAAAAATCTCTTTTTTGCATTTGATTTTTTAAAACAATGCATTTATTTGATGTGAATGGTCAAAGACATTCAAGTTGATTGTGCTGTAATCTAAATCGCTACTTGTAATATTGCCCATATTCTTCTACCTTAGCAATTTCATAAAATGGAACAATAATATTCTTAAGGGTCACATGGAACACTGAATGCAAATTTGGAACCCTATATCTGTGTATGGGATTTTGGGGGGAATTTGGGGAGTCTAAATGTGATATTAAAGTAGAGTGAATTGAAAGAATGAGTCACCTGAATATTATCTTGATTTATCACTGTGTTCTTCTCTCTCTTTCAGGAACAATATAAATTTGTATATGAGGTTGCATTGGAATACTTAAGTTCATTTTAGCTCATCAGGGCAGGGAGCTAAACGATGCCTAAAGCTTTGGTGTTTGAAGGACATTGGTTCCCCACTTTACTTCAGAGGAGTAATGGGCTAAAGCATATATAGCTCTTCATCCTTGAATGAGAAACCAGGTCAGAGCTGAGTGCCGGAGGAGAGATCTGCTGCCATCTGTTTTTAGAACATTCTTGCCTTTTAAGCAACCCACTATGGCAAAGCAAGAGACAGGGGGGAATATTCTGCTTTCTAATCCCTTCTGACTGCTTCTCCCTATCATTTTGGATGTGTCTTTTTTTCCTCCCTTGATGCAAACAGGAGTGTGTGTGTGTTTGTGTGTGTGTGTATAAAATATCAGCTCCACTTTTTGTGTCTCTCCAAATCCTCACTTTTTTGTTTCCTATATAAGTCAGTTTGCTTTAAAGAGAAGCTTCATTAAACATATGTTTGGCTTTCAGCAGAGCAAGCCTTTGTGTTAAGTTTTTCAGATGAAAAAGCCACCATCATAAATGTGTGATTTTTCTGTCAGCTCTTATTGTCTTAAAAGCAGGCTATGGAATGAAGAAGCTGCCAGTTAATGTTCTGCCTTGATTAATACACAATGCTACTAGATTTTGAATGTTCTGCATGGATTGGTTAAATCTTAATGGTTCCTATCAGCTGCAGTGCTGGTGAAGCAACTCTGTAAAACTGCACCTCCCAGCAAAGTACATTGAGGTCACCCTGAAATTATCTTCATGTTTCATATTATTGTTCCTTTGCTTGGTAATGAAATTAATTTTGTTTTATCATAAGTATTTGGTTGTGTGCAGTGTAAATTTTACAAAAGGGGGAAATTGAAGGATTGGCTTAAAATATGTACCTTGGAGGTTATTCTACCACCTACACCATGGGTGTCAAACTCGCAGTGTCACGTTGCCATCATGTGATGTTTTGTGATGCTTTTTCCCTTTGTGGAGCTGGGGTGGCCATGGCCTGCATATGATGCATTCAGCCTTCCAGTTTGACACCCGTGACCTACACAGTCAAGATCTGATCTGTTGTATGAAATAGTACAGTTGATGGACTTGTTACATACCTCATTAATCAATGTGGTAGAAAGCAGTGTTCTAAAATACCCTGATCATATAGGAATGGGTGATTGCAACTTCCCACCTTCTGATGAACTACATTTATATGTAAGATGTTAACATATATGAGTTTACAAGTTAGGCTGGCCGACCACATTACCCAAACAAGGGACATAATGACAGGCCTTCAAATTTCATTGTCAGATGAAAGAAGAGATATGAATCATTTTCATTAACCCATGTGTTAGCTGTCTTTTCTGTAAAAGGTACTGTTATTTATGGTACATGATAAACTTACTCTCTTGCCTCATAATAATTATTGCAGCAACAATCATTTTTTAAAATTAATTTTGTAAAAAACTAGCCAACAATTTTATGCCCTTATTTTCAAAATCACAACTGTTTCGTCTTTGACAAGAAAGATTCGGGGTGCATTATGGGAAAGGGGATCAAAGTTTTCTGTTAAATCTTAAAAAAACATTTTTTTTTGGAAACAAATACAAGACCATTGAGTTCTTTGCCTTAAGTCAACAACTGCACATTGAAATGGTAGAACTATGTAGAAGCTGAATAATATGAAATCGCCAGATTTTGTTTTATTATGGAACTGTCACTTGTTGAAATGATGTAGCAGTTATACTTTGGTATTTTTTAAACATTTAGCTATCCTTAATTTAGCCATTCTGCTTAAAAGAAAAAAGAGCCTCAAGCATAGAATTAATGTAACCATACACTTCTCCCAGATAAGAAATCTGCGAAGAAAGTGAAGGTTTAAACTTGGCATGTGACAAGTAAAATTAGCTCATAATGCTATTTTTAACTGTTACATCTCTCAGTAACTTTCTTAAATGTGTGTTCATACCATCCCCAATTTGGGGAACCAACTACATATTATAATGTATACATAATATATAGTGATTCTTGTGCCTTTAGACTAATGCAAAAGAATAAACAGTTAGCTAAACTCTACCCCCCCCCAAAAAAAGGAATTTAACACCACCATAGATGTCTTTCCTTGCAAATGTTTACATCATATATTTAGAGCACTTATCTGCAGAAATAGAAATATTATATTTCTTACTGACATCTGCATTACATTTATTCATTAAACCGATGTTGTTACAAGGGTCTCACAGCTATGATTTTTTTTAATGTCATATGGGTGCACATAGCTGATCTTGGGTGATTCTGAAAGATTAGACAAGGTCAGATATGGCTAGTATTTATGTGAGTCTATAAAGAAATTTTAGGGCTATAATCTAGAATTTAGGGCTATAGAAAAAAGTATCCTGCAAGCACACAATGACAAACCACTTTAATATTACTGTCAAGACAACTATGCAGATGTGCCCATGTAGTCAACAAAGATTGAGGTCAATTGAAAGCAATATTAATCTCTTTTTTTTTTTACACTAATAGGCAGGCTATAATTGATTGGTGTAGGTAGTCTCTTAGTCTTATTCTTCATTTGAAAGTGGAGAAATATATTTGATTATATGTACCTGGAAGTGGAGACGTAAGAGAGAGATCCATTTCAAATGGGGCAGATTAAGCATCTCAGATAAAGGGGGCAGAACAATCAGTGGTGCAACATGCAAAACAAGGCAAAAGCAGTTAAAATTTGACACAAAAACAGAAAAAAAGGATTCAACCATGAAAGGAAAAGCCTGGAAGCAACATACGCCAAATCTTAGTTGAAAAACAGCTAATAATTATGGGCGAGAAGAGTGTTTTGATTAGTTAGTTGGCTGGCAATGCAAACAGATTGTTGTGTTGTGTTATGTTGTGTTCTGTTGTGTTCTGTTGTGATGCCTATGTGGACATTTTCCTACCTCTTTATATACTTTAAAAAAAGAAAAGAAAAGAAAGATAATAGGAAAATTGTAGGGAAAGTAATGAAGGAGGAAATACAGGTGTAGAGCAAAGAGGGAAAGAAAAAAAGCATTGACTTTCAACTTTGTTTAGCACAATAAAGTACAAAATAGAATTACAGTCTCAACTTTTTATTTTATGAACTTATCAAGTACTAACCATTTCTATAATAACAAACTAGGTCAATTAGCAAAACTGAAAGTCAAAAGTTCATTTTTTTCCTCTCTCTCTCAAGAATGAAGTCCAGAAGCAGTTTCCAAAAAGAAACAAAACTGAATATATTATTTTCTCTAATTAAAACAGTCAATTTTGTCATCTCTGCTAGCTTCATCACTTTTTTGGATCTCTGTATGATTTTATAGGATTCTAGTGTAAATTGGATTTAATCCTCCTTCTGCCCCGCATTATCTATTGAAAAACATTGCCTCAAAGCTATTCTTGTTTCCAATATATGTATATGTATTTGCGTGCATATATTATACATATACACATAAGCACATGTATAACAAAAATTGTCATCTGGAAATAGAATTTGTCTTGGATTTCCTGTGGCTACTATGTGTAAACATTTAAAGTTCCCATTTTGACCCCAAATCTTGCTATGTTAAAGAAAAAAATCTCTAGCAAAAATGTCCTATTTTATTTGACTTATTTTCTTTGGGTCAGTAAGAAGGATACCTTTCCTTTAAGATATTTCTGCTGATGTGATTCTACCTTCTAGTTGTTTCATTAATAACCAGGCAATCAGGTATTACATGCATTGATTTTTGACATTTGAAATACAATGTTAATTTCCACTTTGAAAAATAAAAGGGCAAAGCAGCAATAGCTACAAAACATTGTAATTTAATAGGTACCTTTAATTAATAATCTTTTTTGCTCTCTAGACATATTTTTTGCAAGTTCACCAGCAGGATAAAACTATTAAAACACGATAAAAGAATTTCTGCTCTAAATGTGCAAATAAATAAGCGACAAGTAGCTATAAAAGTGGTGGTATCTGAAGTTCTCAAGGAAATGTGAAATGCTTCAGTGACAAAGGGTACTTAACTTCAAGCAAGGCTGCTACTTGTGTGTGGCAGTATTTTCATTTCAGATAATCTTGATTACTGAGGAACCTTCATTGCTACTTTAACAGAATAATAGAATAACAGAGTTGGAAGGGATCTTTGAGGTCTTCTAGTTCAACCCTCTGCTAAAGCAGGAAATCCTACACCATTTTAAACAAATGGTTGTCCAGTCTCTTCTGAAAAACCCCCAGTGTTGGAGCACCTACAACTTCTGGAGGCAAGTTGTTCCACTGATTGATTATTCCCCAATTGTCAGGAAATTTCTCCTTAGTTCTAGGTTGTTTCTTTCCTTGATTGTTTTTCATCCATTGCTTCTTGTCCTGTCTTCAGGTCATAATAGGTTGATCCCCACCTCAGCCCCTCAAACACTGGAACACTGCTGTCATGTCACCCCCTGGTCCTTCTTTTGATTAAACTAGACATACCCAATTCCTGCAACTGTTTTTCACATGTTTTCGCATACAGTCCCCTAATAATCTTTGTTGCTCTTCTCTGCACTAATTGCAAACTGTGCATCTAGGTTTTGTGCAACTCAAATATCAGGCTTCCCTGTTTCAGGACAGCAGAGAAGCTCTTGGACTTATGCAGAGGTATCTTCTACCCACACATCTTTGTAGCAGAGTTCCAATATGACAAATGTCCATTTGGGGAACCTGTCATAATCTAGGTTAAATCTTGCTTGAATATCATGAAACTATTCTTACGAGAAAGGTTAAAGCTTGTTGAGCAGCAAAAAGGCTATACCATGACAATATTGTAATTAGATATAGGGATCAGGGAAAATGTTTGGTAAAATCTCCAGAGGTGATGATTATATTTAAATAAATTTAAAGATGCTAGAAGAAAGGCTGGTGCAAGGAAAGTAATGGAAGAAGGTGAAAATGGAACTCTGTTGTGCATGAGCTACTTTTTCCTGCTTAATTTAATTTTATCTGCTTACCAATGGTCTCCATGTGTGCAATGCATGCATGTGAAGGGTAAAAGGATCTCCACTGGCTTAATCTTTGGGAGGGGGAAGATATAAGCAGGAATCTGATGTATTTAATCAGTGCACCTGTCATAAAACAAGTTTCTGCATAGAAATATATGTAGGTTATGTATAGGCTGTAAAAGAAAAAGTAGGGAAGTAGAGAGGAAGAGAGCAAAAAATGATTTAATATGTTGATTTAATATGTTGAAATGATTTAATATGTTAATAGGTTTTGAACTCTTTTATTTCCAATACTATATGTGAGAGTGAAAAGAAGGATGTGTGGGAGTAAAGTACATTATAATCACAGTTACATGTTGACACAGATTTTGTTATATTACACCAGGAAAGTTTTTTGTATTGTTAATTTTAAAGCTGTTCTAGCCCACATCTCATCCAACTCAAGGTGGCTGAAGCCTATTTGAAAGAACTAACAAACTTCCAAAAACATAACCCAATTATTGTCTCATCATAAA